CCCCCCAGCCCCGCTGCTCACCTCCAGTAAGATGGTGAACTGGCTGGCCCGGTAGTCGTCGCCGTAGGAGTCCAGCACCCTCATGAGGAACCTGCGCCCGGAGAGGAGCCGCCAGGGGACCCCTTCGTCTCTGGTGGTCAGGGGAGGGGGCCCCTGACAGCCTGGCTCTGACTCCCTCTGAAGCCACGTGTCCTTGACCCAGAAGGGCTGGAGCTCTGGGGTCTGAGAGGCCTGGGGGCCAAGCGCCTGACCACCCAGTGGGCTTTGGGCAGGAGAAGGTGACTCACACCTTAGCTTCCCACTGTCAACAGGAGGGGACAACGCCGACTGCAGGGCGGGCTGGGACACCACCACCAGACCTGACCGGAGAGCCCTCGGGGGTGCTGGCTGAGCAAACACTCACGTGGCTGTCATTTGTGTTCATAACTAAAAGGCCAAAGAAGCGTGCGCAAGACACCCCTGGCGACCTCAACTCTCGGACTCCGCCTGCTCCTCTTTCCTCATCCGGCTTCTAAAAGCTTCCTGTCTTGCCCTGGCCGGTTTGGCTCAATGGATAGAGCATCAGCCTGCAGACTGAAGGGTCCCGGGTTCGGTTCCGGTCAAGGGCACGTACCTGGGTTGCAGGCTCCTCCCGGCCCGGGCCCTGGTCAGGGTGCATGCAGGAGGCAACCAATCAACGTGTTTCTCTCACATCGATATTTCTCTCTGCCCCTCTTCCTTCCACTCTCTCTAAAAAATCACTTATTTTTCAAAATTGCGGTAAGATACAAAATTTACTAATTTAGGCATTTTCTGTTGTCATTAATTCTCACCTGAGGATATTTTTTTTCCATCGATTTTTAGAGGAAGTGGAAGGGAGGGAAGACAAGGAAGAAAGAGAGAGAGATAAACTTCAATGTGAGATGCATCGTTAGGCTGCCTCCTGCACGTGCCCTGACCGGGGGCAGGAATGGAACCTGTAACCGGGAATCGAACCCAAGACAAGACCCTCCAGAGCAATACTGGCCAGCAATACGTCTCTGACTCGGTTACTCTAAGTACCTCACCGGGGAAGGTTCCCCCCTTTTCCTGAGGGGGACACAGAGAGTGACAGTGGGCATCAGATCCCCAGCGGCCGGCCCCAGACTCACACCCACCCTGTCCTGGTGACCGGAGGCGGGAAGCTCTGATCTCAGCAGCCTGTGGCTTCGGCATGACCTTTGCGTCACCGAGTTGTCAGGAAACGGGCTCTGAGAGGAGGTGTCAACTGGCTCAGAGCTTGAAACAGGGTCTGTGACTTTTTTTTTGTTTGTCCTCACACTGGAATATTTTCCCATTGATTTTGAGGGAGAGTGGGAGAGGGAAAGACAGAGAGAAACATCGATGTGAGAGAGACATTGATTGGTTGCCTCCTGCAGGAGCCCCGACCAGGGCCCGGGCTGGGACGGAGCCTGTAACCAACTACGTGCTCTTCACCAGAATCGAACCCAGGACCCTTTGGTTCTCAGGCTGATGCTCTACCCACTGAGCCAAACCAGCCAGGGCTGGGTCTGTGACTCCTAAGGCCAGGACCCCTTCTTTTGCTGCCCTCTCCACTCAGAGGGTGCACACCCGCTCCCCTTTCCTGCTGCAAGACCCAATCCCACTCTGGTCCCTGCCGGCCTCAGCCCCCCGCCCTCCTCTGCAGCCTCGGCTCCTCCTGGCCCCAGACGGCCAGCCGGGCAGACCCGCAAGGTGGAGAAAGGAGAAGCAGGTGGAGACAAGGTCGGGGGCAGAGGCATGCCGGCCAGGGCAGGGCCCAAGGGTTACCTCCGCTCCTGCTGGAGTCTCCGCGTTATCCTCTGTACCTGATGGAGCCTGTTCAGGACCCGCTCGTTCACCTGCGGGGAGGTGGACGGCACAGGTCAGCTGCACCCATTCAACGGAGGGTCAGTGCAGCCAGCCCTGCTGGGGACCAGGGAGCCAGCCCAGGGTCATCTTGTGGACCAGAAGCGGCTGTCCCTCCTGCATCTGCTCACACTGGCCTCCAGGATGCAGGACAGGAACCTGTGAGGCATCAGCGAGCTGATCTGGGCTGTCCCGGGCGCTCCTAGAGGAGCCAGCACTCCAGGTGCCATGCACATCCCAGGTGCAGAATAAACGAATGATGCATGAAAGCCTCACCCTGCTGGGCAGAGCCTGGGAGGGGGTGGGCACTCAGGCTGGGGGACCCCAAAGCGGGCCCCACACTCACCTACCTGCTCGATCTCCCTGCAGCGCCGACCCAGCGCCTGGTACTTCCTGCGATTGAGTTCCCGTTGGCGCCGCCGCCGGCCCCGGGCTGCCTCCTCCTCTTCGTCTCGCTCCCGGAGGCTGGAGCTGCCCAGCCCCCCAGACACGAACTCCACTTCGGTCTCAAGCTCGCTCTCCAGGATGTGACCACCGAACAGCGGCGGCAGCGCCAGCTCCGAGCCGGGAGGTGCTGAGAACTCCTCAAAGCCCACGGCTGCCATGGTCCTGTAGGGTCAGGGGCGCTCAGGGACCCGGAACCCCCACTCCCCTGCTCCTCCCTCCACGTCGGGAGGCCAGGTCCCCAGCCTCTCCGTCAGAGGATCCAGAGTTCAAGCCCCGACCCCGAGAGAGTTCAGACCCCCGATTCCTCCTCCCACGTATTTTAGGGAAGTTCAAGGCCCCCCAAGCCCTCACTGACACCCAGGAGTCCAGGCTTCCAACCTCTTCAGTGGTTCTCAACCTTCTGGCCCTTTAAATACAGTTCATGTTGGGACCCAACCATAAAATATTTTCGTTGCTACTTCATAACTGTAATGTTGCTACTGTTATGAATCGTCATGTAAATATCTGATATGCAGGATGGTCTTAGGCGACCCCTGTGAAAGGGTCG